CGCGCTCGCCAACCTATACTCGCCGACCGAAACGAATAAAACGATCGGAGAAGGGCATATCGGTAATTTGCGCAATACTCGGAGGAAGAAACTTTTCGGGAAAGTTGCAAACGCGAATTAACAGGCCACTGTCGAAACACTGCCGTGGTAAATTACGTTTCGTGGCGTTACCTTTTGTGTTGCATCATCGATCGGCCAATCCAACGGATGATATTAATATCGTCGACTAATGTTCGATCTTTAATAAATTCGTCTCGTTTCGTTTCAGGGAGGGGGGACACAGATGATTTATCGTTTTTCACAATGGAGAACATCGGATGACGGTTGTTGTTACGTTACGGCAAAAAGAAGAAAAACACAGGTGGCGAGCGATGAGATCGCGAAACGAGTTCTCCGCTGTGAAATCGAATCGAGTAATTTTCCTGATCGTAACGAATTGATATGTATTCCGTACGAGTGAATACCGTAAAAATTGGGTTAATCGACGAATTTTCTGTTGGATCGTACGAGACTCGAGACGAGTTTTGGTGATTTCTTTCTTCAAATTAATGAAATTAAGGAGAAGTTTTCTTTTTTCTTTCCTTCCGATTGAAATTATTGATTTTCTTGCTTCTCTTAATGCAAGAAGGATTTATATGGAAAAATCACGGATGGAATATGTTTCCGGGATTTTCAAACGGATGATTGGATAGCCCGAATCGTTTGCCGTTTAGAGTCGCGTTCGATGAATTGCGTCAAAGAAATGTTAAAAAAATTTGAACACACGTTGCCACGAGGATCGTGTAAATCTATTACAATTTCGATTATCGACTGGCAGTTTTCGATTACATAAGCAAAAACCTCTAAAACACGATAATACGAAAGATTTAATTTGTTAACTCTACATATATTACATTCGCTTCATTTCGAATTTTTCAAAGTCAAATCACAATCACGACACAATTATCCTCCCTTCCTTCCCAATCACGATTTATCCCACTGAAAACTGCAATCGATAGATCCTTACATAAACTTCGATCCACTCGTCGTTCCCCAACAATCGATTTTCCCCCTCCCAACTAAATAAATAAAAAACAATTACTCCAACTTGTTGCTACTTCTCCGACTTCTCAAAATTCCGTGTGTACCATTGTCCTCGACTTCTCAACCCCGAATTCTCCAATGAAATATCACGGATCACGACCGATGATATCGCGGTGATTCAGATTCGTTCTCGAAAAAAGAAAAAAAAAGAAAAGAAAAACCAGAAAACTAGCCGAGCTTGTTACGAGGCACAAAAACGAGACTGGTACGGGATCTGTAGAGCGCAGTGTATCGCGCGATGCCGGCAACTGATGCCACCACGAGCGAACCCGGCCTCTCTCCCTCCCTCTGTTTCCATCGTTTGCCCCTTCTTGTCCTGAGCCCGCACCACCGCCGCCCGTTTGCCGCCTCCGTCCTCTTGATCCTTGCGTGGCCGCAGGTATCGTTCGCCAATTTTGCACCTGTACTCCCCCCTCCCCCCTCGGCCCGATTTTCTACTCGCGTTCTCAATCGCGTCGCGGGTGCACCGCTCGCCTCCAGCGATCGTTTAACGATCCTCGTTGCAGTGATGGATGATTGTTCGTTGGTTGTGCGAGAAATATCGAGTCGTGGATTAATAGAGAGTTTTCCTTATCGGGGTTATCAAGAATTTTTGATCAGGAAGTTATCAAGAATCGATATAATACTTCAACGAAAATATTGAGCTATGGTTTTGATAGAGAATAGAGGAAATGTGCGTGCGCGTGTGTGTAGTATTTACTTACTCTTTTTCGGCTAAAATCAATTCGTACTTTTTTCTACGTTCTAAGGTTCTTATAAGATTATTGGAGAGGATTGTTAGAAGGAGTAGTAGTAGATTGATACGATGAATTTTCGAAAACGACGAAACGATTCTGATAATTTAGTCTTCGAAAGTGTGATATAATTTTTTTTTTTTTTTTTTTTTGTACAAAATACTCGAAACAATTTTTTGATATTGAGGAGACCGATATCTCGTACGACGTAGTAAAAAAAATATATATATAAAAATTTTAACTCATCGAAATTTTAAATTTGAAAAGCAATAAACTTCGAAACTTCTTAAAATAGCTCGAAAAGTGAAGTTTCGCTTTAAACTCGAACAACAACCCCCTTCCAGTATACCTCTATTTACAGAATCATTCCCCGTTTCTTGTCGAAAATCCTCTCTCTGAACTCGTCGCGCAAGTGATTTTTCGCCCGTCCCAGTTTCCCTTGGATTCCAACGCGCATTCTTCCAGACAGCGAGCAGCACGATACTATTTTACGTCGCGGAGCGCACGAGGGAGGAAAGTCCATCATCGGGCGGATCCCGACAATTAATAGATCGGCGGCGAAGGAAGGAATCGGCGACGAGAGGTGAACGGCCTAGCTAAGCGGCCCAATTCTACCTTTTTAATCGTGTCGTGGTCGAGGTATCGCGACGAAAGAGCCGCGACCGACACGCCGTACATTATATCTTTGCCCTGCCTCGTCGGTGAGAAGAGAATCGCGCGCGCGTAAAAAAAAAAAAAAAAAGAGAAAAAGAAAAAAAGAAAGGAAATGAAATAAAGGGGGGGATCGAGTTGGAAAAGAAGGCGGGTTGAAAAATATGGACGTCGCTTCGTAATTCGTTGCTCGTGCATCGAACGCTTTAACTCCCGACGCGGACGAGCGATGAGACGTGTCCACGTCGTTGCAATTTCGCACGACGTGACGTCCTATGTTTCTAATGGGGTAGATCGGTGCTTTCGCGTCCTTTCTTTTGAAAAAAAGAAAAGAAAAAGGTACAAAAACATCACTTTGAGAATGAACGAGAACGACATTGAAAAGTGAGGGAATCTCGCGTTCGGATCTCTACCCTGGATCGTCAAAAATAGAGATCGGGATCGAATCGAATCGGAAATTTTTAAACGCGAAATTTTTGGAAATTTATTCCACGACCGTCTCGTCTTTATGTCTCTCTGTAGGATCTCTAGGATCTATTTATCTTTACGGCCTTTATCTTTAGAAGGGGTGAATCGGATGGTGTTGATAAAAGGCGGGAAGGAACGCGACACACGTCACGGAACAGTCACCGTTAGCTTTCCTCTATAGTTATAACTGGAATTGTTTGCTCTCCTTTCGACGCTCGTTTCCTTTTCGTAGCGAACCCCACACACACACACACACACACACACGTGTGCCGCTTGACGATCTCCATGCACCGTTGGGTATCCCAAAACGGTCCAGGAATCGAGGTGCAGGTTGCTAGCTTCTAAACGAAGCGGAAGTTGCGCCCAGGGTGGTCTTAGAAACGTCGTGGAAGATTTTAATATATGTGAGAATTGACAGGAGAATCCTAACGCGTTAAAAGTTTGATTAGAAAACATTTAGATAAATAGATTTTAGGATAAATTTTCATAATTCTAATAGTCTACGTATTCGAGTAATAACATTAATATGACGATAAATGAACTTTTGATGCAAAATATATAAAAATGATATAAAGTATAATTTAAAAAAAGACCATGTGTAAGAGATTTTTAATATCTCTGATTACGTAAATCATCAATTAATCAAGGATCGTTAATATCGTTAATAACAGAAGCGAGAGACTCGCTATTCATCAAGATTTCCCTGTCAATTTGAAATTCGAAAATATGCGTCCATATTTCTTCTCGAACATCTTATATAAATTGAACGAGAAAATCGTTATATCAATTATTATTTCGGCGTAAACGTGTCTCGCGACTATTAACGTCTCGTAAATATACGTACGATCGTTTTAAGGTGATTGCGTGCCTTCGTCTGAATCATCGATCGGTCGATGATGAAATCGTACGATCGCTGGTCTCTCGATTAGGGTAAATCGATCGCAGGTTTGGAAATAACGCAGTTTGTAGGTGAAGAAAAAGAAATATCTGGATATCACGCGTGGTCGTGGTCGTCACGGTTTTAAACAGTATCCTGGTTAAGAGGCGAGTAATTAAGAGAATGTAGTTAAGCTGTTTAAAACCAGTTTCAGAAACGATTTTATACGAATTTATTCATTTATTAAATATGTAAAGAGAATTATACCGCAAAGAAAAGTATCGTAATTTTGCAAACATAGTGTTCCTTGGAATTCGTATTCGTAATTTTCAATTAAATTTCATCTTATCGTGAATAACGCGTTGTAAAATTTTATTCGTATAAGTTTGTCAGATTTTTCTGATCTAAGAGATTTTTTTTCTTTATTGTCTCTAACTCGAAGTTTGTTTTCATCTCGAATAAAATAACAAATTAGAGATGTTTCGTAGATCTGTCTTTTAACAAATCCATTTCCGTGAAACGAGAGTTTGAGTAACTAATGGGTACAGTTTCTTACGAAACGGTGAACCCGATTTCGTTCTCATGGAATGTCAAGCTGCCATTTGACACGCACGAATTCCCAAACTTTCGTTGAACAAGTCCAAAAGTGGAATTCCCCGTGGGTAGAATTATTTAATACAAACTAAACGAAACATCTACCGCAAAAGTTTTAATTCCCTTGGATAGCAAACCTTTGGATCAAAGTATTACCTTTTCGTTCACGAAGTACAATGAAATCATATCTAAACAAATTCCAAATACTTTGCTTGGAAAATAGATTATTTATAGAAAATTTTTCAGATAAATCCACGAAATATCTTACTATCTACTTACTATCTACAATTCAAATTTTCTATTCAAGGGATGGTTTCCATCCCTTTCCATCTCTTTAATCGCATCCTCGAAAGCCTGTAACTTTATCCCCTTCTAAATCTTTCTTTCTAAAAGACAAACAACCACTTTCTGATCTTGCGACTGTTGTTGTTGTAATTCAAATCATGGTTATCAATTTTTAAAAATTTCCTTCAAATATTAAAAAAAAAAATAAATAAATAAAAATAGAGAAAGAAACAATTCTATTCGATCCACGCGATACGAAGATCGTCAAAGAAACAACTTTAATCACTACGAAAGTTTCATCATCTTAGATGCATGCAGGTGAAGCGGAGGATCCAGACGGAATGAAGATTTCATCCCGAAGGAATTCGTCGAGCGGATTTCATCTAAAATCAAATGAGCCTTGGATTAAATCGTTTTCCAACTCGAGCAATTAGTAGCGTTGCGTTACACGTATTTGTTTACGTTTCTTACACGTTGCTTCCGGTTTGCATCTCGTTCCAATTGTATCTAGATTAGACCAGATTAAAGTTTAAACTGATAAGAATTTATTTTTTCTTTCTCGAAATCCATTTCTTCATCGCATTTCAATCGAAGATTTCTAATTTGCATTAAAATTAAATTTATACATGCCAGGTTTGTTTGTTGTAGTGATGAATTTGAAAGCACGTGTAATTGCCTGTTTAATGGTTTAATGGAGTTTTTTTTTAAGAGTACAGGTAGTGGTTACGTATTTAATTATACCTTTAAATATTACCAGTTTAACCTTGTGCTTGTGGTCTTTAAATTTTTATGTTTCAATTTTCGTTCTTGTTACGAGAGGAATATTAATGTTTCGAGAAAAACTTTAACACGGATATTAAAGCGGAAAATCACGCTGATTAACGATAATTTGTTTTTTTTTTTTTTTTTACATTTCTTTAAACATTCTGAAATTCTTTTGATATAACGATAAATTATACAACTTGAAAGCGACACGATTGTAAACACGATTAAAGTAGAATATATAAATTTTCTAAATTTCGTGGGTATTTTTTTCCATCTTCCATTGTAACTTTCCTCGTTTTATTATCCCCTGTAACGTGGTGCGACGCAAAAGCCTCAAATACCCGCTCAACGACCTCTCGATAAAATTCTTTATTACAAAAGAATCTTCTTTACTTCACTTTTTCCTCAACTCCTCTCCAAATTATCGCGCATTAAAAGGACACGATTATTTCATTATTTTCATCTTCCATCCAAAGTTAATTTTACAAATGTTTTAATCTGTTATTTTAAATAAAATAAAGCTACGATATCTTTCGCGATAACGCGAAAAACATTTTCCTTCTCCTTTTATCGAGATAACCAGTTTCCGCTAATCCGTGACTCGTTCTCCCTTGCGACCGTTCCAATTCCCTTCGATGCACGCCTCAATGAGACCAATTTAGCCGCGTCGCGACCTAATCCTCCCGCTTAATATTTAACCCAACATCCTCTCGCATTCACGAGCCGCGCGGCGGACGCGTATTTACACTTCTCGCCTGATAAAGAACTCCGACTAGAGGAGCGTAATAAAGAGCAACGCTTTATTGCGATTCGCGCGCTTGATACACAGCCTGTTATGCTCGTAAACGAAAACGAAGGAAGGAAACAAACAGCTTAACGCCGAGAATAAAAGAAAAGAAAAGAAAGAAAGAAAGAGAAGCGACGAAGAGGCAAGAGAAATAAAATGAAATAAACATATATATATATATATGTATAGGGAGAGAACACGAGATAAGAAGGAGGAGGAAGAAGAAGAAGAGAAAGAAAGAAAGAAAAAAAAGAAGAAGGGAATCGTAACGCTTACTTACTTGGTCGGTGAACCAATAAGGAAAAGAGGAGAGGAACGAGACTCGTCTCGAGGCAAAGAGGTTCCACCGAAACGAGATGCTTCGTGGAAACGACTGGTCTGAGAGAGGGGGTTATGGGGAGAGCGGAATAAGAATAAGAAAAACGGCGTACGTCTGATAAGCTGGTGTTCCTCGGCGTCGGACAGCGGAAGAAGGAGGGAAGGGAAGTGGAAACCGGTGTGGGGTACCACGCCACTTTCACCCGAACGAAAGTAAAACTCGATTCGCCGCGCACCCAACCCACCACCGCTTCGTGGAGGAACGCTCGCTGTGCAACCGTAAACTTTTTCTCATGGATAGCGGCGCGTGCCTGCGCGTCGAATGTCATTAACCGACCTCGCCTCCGCTTCCATTTCATCTTCCTGCTCCACCGTCCACGATCCACCGTCTGATAAAGAGCCGCCTCGCGTTCGGGTGTTCGCGTTCACGGACCGCTCTGATCGGACTTTACATGCCGCGATGACGTAACACCCTGCAATTTCCGACCAATTGACGCTTTTGATTCTTCTCGCGCGTTTCATTGATGACCAGCGCGAGGCGAGATTATCGTCCGTTTGGATCTTGAACTTGTTCCATCCAATCCTTTGCAAGTTGTAAGTTTTAATATATATGAATATTTTAATATAGCGTTTCGTCGATTATATTGCGCGTTTGTTGCGAATATTTGCGATTTTTGTGAGTAGTTATCGAAAGAAAACTTGGATCCAAGCGTAGCGAGATTGTAAATCGATCGGTTCCGAGTAAATATCTCCACGTCTTTCTAGAAAAGAAACGAATGTGTACATTGAAACCAGACGCGCTGTACACTAACAATCAGCGGATGTACGTTATTTCCAGCCATCGCTATCGTGTCGTTTCGCAAGGGCATGGAAAATTTACGAGGATTCCCGCAATAGGGACTCGCCTAGTCGCGTGAATCGATCGTCATGCATCCTCGATCCTGCATGGATTTTTCTATTTAAATACATGGAATTTTTTTTTTTTCTATCCTTCTCGATCGAGAAAGTTCGTAAGAGGTATAAAAGAACTATGCTTGTTCGATCCGTTGACTATTGTTGCTTCTCTCATTTCTGCTTACGATATTCGAGTTATTTCGACCGCGTGTTCGATTTTTACGGCGATATTTGAATCGATCATCGCGCCAATACCTTCGTCTTAATCCCAATAATATATCATCAATTGTCAATTATTATGGGAAATTTAAATTAATGGATTCGACGATGAAAATTAATCTGTACAATAGTAGCGAAGATCAATTCCAAAATCTCCAGTTTGTCGAACCTTTTCTTTAACGAATTTGTATTATTCGTATTAAATAAAAGAAATTTAATAAAACTTCAATATCTTAGTTTCTTCCTTTCAACATTTAAGCCCCCCTCCTCCCATCTCCGAGATTCCAATACTAGAATCCTTTCAAAGCCACAGACAATGGCTTCTGTTTCCCCCGCAAATCTTGCGAAAGGGAGAACTGTGCCCTCGGGGGTTGTGAGTGCATCTTTGCCATCCACTCTCCCCGTCCCCCCTCCTTTCCAGTTACCATCGAATTTTTTCCAACCACCTGACTCGTGGAAACAACGATACGGGACAAGTTGCAGCGTTGCGGCCTCTGTGACGCACGGTCGCCCCTGGACCGTAAAAACCTATCTTTATGCTTTACACCTCGGATCCAGCGTGAAAGAATCTTACTTATTTTATTTAGTTACCGCTATTATTAATTTTGAATTCTTTTTTCTTTTCTTTTTTTTTTTTTTGGATAAGTTCGATGGAATCAGAATCGATGCGAAATCGATACAGTTTCGAGGCTTTCATTGGGTGAGTATTGAAATTTTTAAATATATATTTTGATGCGGTAAATATTCGATTCTTTTACTCGTACAAGTATTCACACAAGTAGCGTGGAGAAAATTATTTAATTAATCTGTATCGAGAATGGCAAATTCGAAAAAAATGAGATTGTTCGAGCTCGTTTCGAGAACGTAAATCGCGTTTCTGCAAGACTAGAAATTAGAATTAAGTTTATTTCCCTTGGCTATTTTGCATTCATGCCGACTAAACGGCATTTGTCACTCCGTGATTCGGTCAAGTTGAACGATTTATCGATCTGTCGAACGGATACGCGATTTTCTTACACAAAAGCATTAGTCACGTACGTAATAAGATTCCCGCCAATTCTCTTTATATATATAGCCAATCGAGAATCTACATTACTCGTCACGAATTTCAATTTCAAGCTTTTTCCTTCCGTCGAGTAACTAATCTTTTAACGTCTCCTTCTTTCCTTCATTTTAATTACTCGTTTTCTCGAAGTAAACACAATGTCAATTCCGTTTTATTCTATAATTTTTTAAAAAAACATAGAATAGAAATATCTTGGAAAGAATGATTGAGATCTTGCAACGAGATCGATCAAATTTCTTATTTATATATATATAGGGAAGCATCAAGGAAGAAATATCACGAGCGGAGAACAGTGAATAATATCGTCCTGGTGGTCGAGATCCAAAATAAGGATTCGGATTCACGTATTGCAGATGCATGGAACTCGGTGTACCGGAGAATTGCAGTTTGGTCTAAGAAAGCGAGGCGATGTAACAGCCCGAAAAAAAGATAGAACGAAAGCTCTCCGGTGGCCGGAGGATTTCATTCCTAGCTTGGAATTATCCTTTCCACCGAGCTGATAGCGGTCCTTGGCCTTTGCCAGTGGCAATCGCTTTTTACGGATTTCGTCGTGGCCAGAGTCGCAGTGAAACAATTCGTATTTCTCTGTCGCCTTCCCCTAGCGAGACGCGATAGATGATATCGATAAGATAAAATTTCTTATTTCAATAATTTCCCTATAGTTTATTAAGGAATGATTTCATTTCTCTGTCGTAATATTTCTTGTATGCTTCATCGTCGTTGATTAAAGTTTGAAATTATTATTATTATATATATATTTTTTTTTTTAATTGAAATATTCCACATACATGTTATTTTTCAACGTAATTATTTAATCGAGTTGAAGTGAATTAATTAATTAAATTATAAGTAAACAAAAATATTTCTCCGATATTCATTTTATTAGCTATTTTATCGACATTATTTGATGTTTATAGATGTATAAAAATATACATGTATATGGAATATACAAAAAGAAAATTTATTTATATTTATATAGAATATATGTATTTGATACGATGTATTCTATAAAAATTGGAAAAAAATAAGTTTCGTTAAGATTTTTAATTAATAAGATAAATAACAAAAAAAAAAAATAAGTTAATCGAGTATTGGAATCGTCTCTTGAGCGCATGCATTGGTAGGTTAAGGATAGACAAAGAAAGTACATAGTGCGAGAAGGATAGAGATAGGACGAAATATTGAAATCAGCGCCATCTTCAGTGTGCCGTAAATGAAACACAGAAAGGAAGGACAGCAAATGAATGAAAAAGGATAGAGATAGAATAAGAATTAACTTTCAGCGCCATCTCTGTCATGTTCCTTGAACTTACTTGTCGTAAAAGTGTTTTTAATATTCGTGAGATGGCGCTGACGGTTGATTCTTATCCCCTATACTACAGTGCCATCTTGTGAGTACTACTAACATCTCTGCGAAAATTAATTCCAAAGGTATTTAAGAGATGGCGCTAGCAGTTCGTTCTTATACTGTTTCTATCCTTTTCTATCATTTGCTGTCCTTCCTTTTTGTGTTTCATTTGCGGCACTCTGAAGATGGCGCTGATTTCAATATTTTTATCATATCTCTGTCCTTTACCTACCATTTGCTCTCCTTGTCTACATTTGCTTTTGGCGCGTGATCTTGTATGGCGTATGGAATATCAATTGATGATCACTTTCTCTTTTAATAATAAATATTACAATGTGTTAATCTTTAATATAAAAAATATAGATTAAATTCTTCGCTTGACGATAATTTATGTATTTTAGATCTCTTTTTAGATACATAATTTGTAATTATGTATGAAATTTGATAAATTCATTTACGACGTTTTCTCGTTTGCAACATACGCTGCAATATCCAATATTCTTAAATAAATTTAAAAATAATCAATTAGAATTAAAAAAAAAATAAATAAATAGTGAATGTAAAGCTAAATTCTTAAAGAATTTAAATTATTCTTCAATCTATAATTAATAAATAAATATAAAAAAAATTAAAAAAATTTTCCATATGGAAATCTTTCGTTTAACGTTTTTTTTACGACTTTCCAAATGTGATTCGGATTATAATCGTCGTAAAATACGTTCCTGATTTTCCTGAAGTTTTCTTAAAAATCGCAATAACCCATTTTCCAGATTTTTATATCTTCGTGTGAAAGATTTCATTCCATCAATTCTACTGCTACGAAAAAGAAATATTGATTTTTCAAACTATTCCTAAACCATCTCCTACGTTAAATTTTATCGATATAACACCATACCTATCGATACTTATCGATCTGCATTTTCATTACTCTCAATAACTATACACTTCGAAAGGAAAGAATAAAAAATGATCAAGTAGATAGCACAGATATCGAATCGATCGCCGATGGATTCATTCTTTTTCTCCCAAAGAGGTAGAAGAGGAATCGAACAAATTCTCGAGATTCTCGCGATCGGCGGGTGTTTGTACAAACTCATGTAGGTTAAGAGTGCACGGTCGCGTGCGATATAGAACACAGGACTCGTGCGCAAGCCGCGAGTTGCGAGTTACGGTAGGTAAGTACCGTTCTCCGGGACGACAGTTGCCGTGCAGGTGTATGGAATCGCGTACATTGAGCGTATCTCGACTCTCAACTTCCTCGTCCCGGTGAAAAGTTTCGCTTCTTATCGAACCTTGACTCGTCCATTACCTCCGCCGTTCCATCCGTGTCTGGAACCCTTTCCCTTTAATTCCTTTCGAAATGTTTTGTTTCTTGCTTTTTTACGCGAAACGTTTGAAATCCATCGTACGAGTATATAAATTATCAAAGATGTATATATACCCTAACTTTAAAATTTTCTCCTATTTCTCGTAAACTTGTTAATTGTTTTCAATGATCACAGTCATAAAAAAAAAAAAAAAAAAGACGTAATAAAATCGCAACTATCCCATTCTACGCTATTTCCACTTGAACGCGTCAATACTCAAAACGAAACGCAACCAATTCCTACCTGTATGCCTGGCATCGCGCGGAAATCGTTCCACCATCGGATCGAGCAACACGCCCGAGCCGAGTTGAACTCCGTGGCATATCAGTTGGACCAGAATTGCGACCGACACGATCACACGCCCCCACCCGCCCTCGGGATAATAATGCCTCCTGAGAGTGATTCTCTTCCGAGCGTTCGCCGCGGTGAAAGACTCCTCCTCGGCCCCGTCCTCCGCTCCCTCCACCAGATCCTCGTAATCTTGAACGCTACCCAAACCACCCTCGAGTATCAGCTGCTCGGAGAACCGTCTCCTCATCATTTTCGGCGTAATATTCACGCTGCTCCTGCGACGCTCCATCGAAGACTCCCTCGAACCCTCCTCCTTCCTCTCCCTCCTCCTCTTCTGCCGCCAGCCACCACCTTTCTCCGCCACCTTCCCTTCGATCGACCTTTCCGTCAACGGTTCGACCTTTCCATCTTCGCTTTCTCCGTTCTCCAAGGATTTGCACGAAGCTCGCTCGCTCCTCGAGCCTTCTCTATTCTCCGCGGGGAGACGCGGGCACGCTTTAAACGCTTTGCTCTCTTCTCTGCTTCTTCCTCCGACAACTCCCCCCAACCCTCTGGCTAACGTCTGCTCGGAGAATCGGCGGATATCGACGCGGCCGATCTTCGACCCGCACTGGGACTGAGTTTGATCCGAGTGGCGACGCCTCATCACCTCCTCCTCCTCCTCCTCCTCCTCGATCGTCCCGCGTCGAGGAGGACCCGCGTCCTCCTTGATCTCGTGGAGCAGGCTGGCGACCGAGTTCCTGCCGGAAGAGGGTGGAAGGATGCTCTGGCAGGTGGACACCGAGTGGCCGGAATCCTTCCTCTTGTAGCCGAGGAACGCGTGATCCCTGCTCGAACAGGTGGAGATCTTGCGACGATAGTAGTGGCACTGGCTGCATCGACACTGGCAGAGCCACTGCCACTGGCATCCATCGGAAGGTTTCACGGTCGAGAAGCACTTACCGGTCCCCCCCAATCTGGTCCAGAGTTCGGGATGGGACAGGAAGATCTCGACGGGTATCTCGACGCTCTCGTTCCAGGACCTGCTCGTATCCGTGGACGAGGTCCTGGTCAGGTCTCGTTTCGCGAACGCGCAACTCTCCACGGACCACGTTTCACACTCGAAATTGGTCGAGTCGTCCGCCGATTTGGACTTTTTTCGAATCTCGGGTTGAGATTTCGTTGCCGCCACCTCTTCGCTTTTTTCTTCGTTCTCGCCGATCTCCGTCTCGTTAATCATCGCCGCGCTGTACGAGTCGCGACGTATCCTTCGATACGTATCGCCGCCGTTCCAACGACTCGACGAACCAGCTCCGACGTCCATTTCGAGGGAGGCTTTTTCGAGATGGAAATCACGATTAGCCGAGGATCGATATATCGCGCGCAGTGTACTCTCGTGCTTGGCGGGACGATCGCCGCGTCGAATAGGGGTTCACCGCGGGCGAGATAGTTCGTACGCTATTATTCTAACGTTTTTACAGGGAGGAGTCTTCGAAAGGCGTTCTCGATCCAACCTCGATTAGGAGCAGGAATTATCTATCCCGATTCCCGTTCGTCCGTTTTTCCTCTTCGATTCTTTTGCGAATCTATTCACACATCACAAACATCGTTCTCAGAAATGGATTGCAGTGAAATCCATCTACTGTTCGAATCTGGCCACGACGAAAGGTCACATTTTTTTTTGTCGAGAGCGAGCAAATTGATACATTAACAGATTACACTAAAATCCACCTACGATCTTCGAATCTTGTTGCGAGCAACCAAGAGGAAGAAATTTCCTTCGTTTCCAAGAGAGAGAGAGAGAGAGAGAAAGAGAAATTTCGCATTTGCGCGATCGTTTCGCGGACGCGGATCATTTCGAACTGGCCCACACGACGAAAGGTTACATTTTGTCGGTGGAAATTAATGCTCGTCCCTCGAAAGAAGGCTCATCGGTCCTTCGCTAAATGCATCGCGATGCCTTGCACGTGTTAAGTCGTACGTGAGGCTCTTACTACGCGGCCAGACTGTCGATAGTATACCATCGTCCCGATTTTTCCTCTTCTCGGTGTCGCCACACGTTCTCGTGCCAAATTAAACAGATCCTCGGGGGCCGTTCATACGGTCGGGCCCCGTTTACCACACACGCCCACGTTTTTCACACGGTCCCGCTTCCTTTTTTACGTCGAGTGAAAAGATTACCAAACACTTCCACCACCACACCACTTTTATTCCCTTTCTTTCCTCCCCCCCTTCTCTTCTTTTTTTTCTTCCCTTTTTATCCTCGATCAGACGCGTAATCTCTAAAATATTCCGCGCGGCGGAATATTCGATTAACGAAGCGAAAACGTTTCATTTGCATGCACACTTAGGAGTCGAGAAACCTGTAAATGCCAACCCTACCGTTTCTCTCTTCCTTTCTTTCCTTTTTTTCTCTCTCCCTCTCCGAGATACGAGAATCACCTTGGCCCGATACCGATACCGCCGATTTATCCCCGTATTATCGCCGTATTTCGGTGGAGGGCGTGCGAAAGATAAGTTGATTACCGGCCACAGAATTATTGACCACTCGTGGCGATTTCGTTTCGCGAATCTGATAGCGGGGCAAGAGGGACCAAAGGCGTTCGAGCGAACCGAGGACGGTTTTATTTTTTCAAATGGATCTCTACTCGAAACAGGTGATGGCGGTGGTTATTAAAATGGTGGGTTTCGGGGACCGTTGATTGGGACGCGACGAGTTGTTTATTATAGTCGTCGTTTCGTCTCTTAACACCGTGCTCCTCCCTCGCTTCGAAAAAGAAAACGCCCGTCCCGCTTTTATTTCTGTTTAACGATACGAATTCCCATTCCCTTCAAACGTTTCTCGACTTGATTTTTCGAAAGCTCGTCCTTTAAAGGCTCGATCTTCGAGCTTGAGACGCGTGTTAATAATAAAACGCGACCAGGTAACCGGTCCATGTGTGGGAATAATTTATCTGTTTTCGTGATCGTTGTTACGGTTCGTCGAAGTGCGAGAGAAAAAAATTGTGCCACTTCTTCTCGACGAAGGAAAAAGAAGAAGAAAAGGATACTTTTTTAAAAATCATGGCATAAAATTCCTTACTCCTACTTCGAGTATCTGCAAAACTCGCACAAGGTCGAACAAGTTGCACAATATGTCGATAAGTTTCGAGATCTTGAAAGCGTGAACTTAAACGTTTGGACGAGCGAAATATGTTCGCGATGTCGAGTCAAGAATAAAAAAAACGATCGTTTCGAAACGATTCCGAACAAAGCTATTGCTTCGAGTGATTAATCAAATAATTAGCGTCATCCGATAACTTCGTTGGACGAATATATTTAAAACTTAAACAACAACGCAGAATGCGAACAGAAGAAATCTGAAGAAATCAACGACAACAACGTGACTCAACGTTTTCAAATTTCGCCTCCGCCTCTTCCCAACCCTCTTCCCCCTTCCTCGCCCTCCCTAACCCTTGCCTCGACAGGATCGCCTTAACGAAAACATGACTCAACGTATCTGAAATTGCCAATCCGAACAACGCCAACAACCTAACCGTTCCACACTCGGCCACCACCTGTCGGCGCGCCTTATCGCCAAGCCTCAAAGGGTAATTTCGCATCTCGAAGCCTACGGGCCGCGTGCATACGTAAAATACGATGGGAGCCGATCATTGGCGCCGACTGAAGGGAGGAGGAGGAGGGAAAGAAAGAAAGAAAGAAAAAAAGTAAAACCGTTTGATTTATGAACCGCCGCCCAAGATCGTATCTTGGGACAAGAGGTTTTCACTTAGCGCAATCGGACGATTGGCCGGCTCCCGAATTCGCGAGGTTAAAAACAACCGCCGTTCCACGATATCCGCCGGATCGACGTCGCTTCCGATTAAGATAAACGATCCTCGGTTTTCGATTTTAAGCAACGGCCAATTAAGGACTACTGCGGCGGACGATGCGATATCGTTGCAATTTGGCGATGTCGCATTACACCAAATGGTTTTATACTTTTAAACGGGCTCTTATTTTCTTTTTTTTTTTTTTTTCTTTCTTTGCGGATCTTTCCCAATTTTTCTTCATTTTTGTTCGACAAAATTTGTTTGCTTTGTTTTCGCAAGATATGGATTTCTTTTTTCTTCTTTTTTTTTTTTTTTTTTTTCCGAAATGAAATGAAATATAGTCGAAAGTTTAGTAGAGTTTCTGTAGTATCGGAGAGATAAATGCCAAGATTTTTGGCATCAGCATTCGGACTATAAATAATATAAGCTCGCTATATAAATAAACTAGAATTTATCGCCTGCGAAGGAGGGGGGGTAGGAATATTTGGCACGAGAGATTTCCGTTACTCCCCTCCCCCGTTTGCTCAAAATATAAATTTCCCTAATCATTGGCGAAGATCATTGGTACAAGCGTGTCCTCTCTCCTCGCCATAACCTCCGACAAGGAACGAATCAAGGAACGAATTTGATTGAAAATGCAAATCTCGTCGAGACTCGGAAACTCGATTCTATAACCAAGCTTGGTAAAACTCGTAGCAAGGATAGGTTGGAGCACGCGAGGCGAGGATAGAGAGAGAGAGAGAGAGAAAGAAAAAAAGATTAAAGTTACCTGCGCTGTGAAGGGCAGGTTGATGGAAGACGAGCTCGGCGGTGAGATACCAGCTGCCAGGCGCCGCGAGCTGCAAACCGATCCCGAGGAAATGGACGAGCGCCGAACAGGTCACGATCACGTATCCCCAGCCTCCCTCGGGATAGTAATGCCTCCTCAGGGTGGCCTCTTTCCTCACGTCGTTGATCGGCCGGCAGAGAACCGGGTTCCTCCGCCCGCTCTTCTCCTTGTTCCTGCCGCCTCCAATTAGGCCTCTCGCTCCTATTCTGCGCCAGCTGTTCCTCATTTTCCCCTCGGCCGTTGAATATTTACGGCTCGTTTCCGGTTTATCGCCTCGGCCCGCGACGCTTTTCCTGCTCGACACCGGGGAACGAAACGGGTCCACGCGTTCGCGGAGCAAACCCTCCGACGTGCACTTGGGACACGCGTGTCTCATTCGAGCCGGATCACTCGTCGTCGCATCGTCGTAATCCACTACCTCGATCTGGGGGTTGGCCGCCCTTCTGCCGATAGATCGTTCCGACGAATCGCCCGTTTCATCGAGTCTTAGATTCCCCGCCGCCTCTGCTCTCGCGAAAGGAGGCGGAGAGGCGTCGCGTCGGTTCGACTCGTTCCAACCATCTCCGCCGATCATCTTTTGTTTCCGCGCGGCGGTGGACGACTCGAACGACGATCGCTCCTTTTCCTTCCTCGATCTCGTTCGAGACGTTTCGTTTCCCTCGTCGCTTCCCCGCTCGGACGTGCGCCGATCGTCTGGATCGTCTGGACGAGGATTGGCGGACGAGGAAGCAGAAGGCAATTTCCCCTCGCTTTTACGAGCCTCGCCATCCGAGTTCACCGCTGTTCCGCAACTTTCGTTCATAACGTCAGGTAGCAGGGCGCGCAGTTCCAAACTTTCCCCTAATTCATCGTCGTGGCCGTTCCACTCGATTGCCCTGGTGCCGTCCACGAATCGTCGTTTCGCCTCGACCGAGGAGCCCGTCGAGGATCCGCCATGATCGAGCAGGACGATCTGGTCGATCCAGTTGCTGGTCGAACAGGTCAACAACGGGTGCAGCCTCCCGCCAATCGCCGGGATGATCGTGAACGCGCGCGACAACGGATCCACGCGCACTTTCACCGTCTGCGGCGCCCGATCCGGCCACGAGCTGCTGTGTCTCATCTTCTTCCGCTCCCCCTCGCGCGCTCTCATCTCTCCTCCAACGTTTCCTCATCGAGTCGAGTCGAATCGACGATGCCTACGACCCCCTTCCGATATTCTCCCCTTCGACGATCACCGATCCGATCCTCGAGAAAACCGATGAAAACGATGTTTCCTCGTCCGGTATAAATTTCCTCGCCCCGAAACCGTTATCGTTCCCGTGATCTCTGCCCCTGTGAGAGAGACTCTCGCGGGACGACTGCATTTTTTTTCCAACAAGCTACGCCCGATTTCCACGGAGTTGTTCCACACCTGTTCGAGATTTCGGCCAACGATCGTTTCGATTCGCGAAGAATTCGAAGGGACGGAGAAAAAGGAACGAGATCCAGTTGACTGGTTAATCGAGAAGAAGGAGGTGTCGCGGAACACGGAAGAGTAAGATCGTTTGAAAAGGAAGAAGCGGTCCTGGCGAGTGCGCCAGGATGACTGCTACGCACGTGCTGCTCACTTGCGAGCAACCCTCTCCTCTCTCTCTCTCTCCCTCTCCCTCACTCGCTGTCTCCCTCTTCCCAATGGCGGGCGCATGCGATATTCGACGAATC